AAGAACTATCTGCTGAGTGAGTAAAGGAGCAATTGATTCTTACTGATCAGTTGATGTATTTCATCCAAGTAATTGCCATGCAGTTCATTTATCTAGGCAACCTCATTATCAGGTACCTCCTGAGAAATAATCCCAATTAACAGATTCAACAATATTTGCTGAGTATTTGCCCCATGCCAAGCCCTGAGTGGGTGCTAGAGACTTGGCCATTTGTAGGATGTGGTCTTTGCCCAGGAGGAGTGACACCCGGTCTGGGGGTATTTTGTGGGCACTGCAGGAACCGTGGCCTTAGTCTCCTAGAGGTGGTGGAAGGCGTTGACGGTGGTGTATTAGCAGTGTTGGGAGAACAATGAGCAGGGACAAATTAAATAGTGGGGGGGAGGGGGCAGGCTTTCAATTCTCCCAAGAGGAAGTGATTTTCATGTTGCAGTGGGGGAGGGAAAAGGCATGATCCTAATTACACCACCATAGAGATGTGCTGTGTAGGCTCCGTCCTGGGCTTGACTGGCCGAGGCGCCATCTTGGACATGCCCACTCCAGGATGGTGGCCCCTCCATGCTCACAGAGCTGGGGCGTTGGGTCCCCCATGTTTGTGGTGCTACTTCAGCCTCTCTGAGCCTCTGGCTTAGCTCTCTTATCTCAGAAAGGCATTTTATTCTTCGAGCCCAGGCAGCCAGGACCCAAGGAGCTGTTTTTCCTCCATTGTGCAAGCATGACAAATCATTAATTTTTGATTGATTTGCTTAGAATTATGGGCGCCCCAGCATTCTTTCCGCCGCTGAACAGCTGTATAACAAATGAATATATCAGTGTGCACAAAAGATTGGAGATCTAAGAGAAGCAATTACATTGGCCACCCTCCCCCACCCTCACCCCTTCCCGGGCAATGAAGGGAGGAAATTTTTACCAGAAATTCCTCAAGTGGCTTAAAAAAAAATGCCTTTTTTATAATTGAATTAAATCTTTATCTCTTTATCTTTTACAACAGATTTCCAAACACACATCAGTTCCCCACATGCTTGGGTTCTATCCATCCAGGAGGAATCTTTAATAATGAAATTTCAACTTGTGAATTAAATCTAAAATGGGAAAGAAAAAAAAAATTCTACCCCTCCTTTTTTTTTTTCTTTTTTCTTTTTTTTTTTTTGGTTGCTGCTATTCCTTTAAGATTTTGGAACCGTACCAGTGCACTAAATGTGACCTCCATAACTTTTAAATTAAGAATTTATGCTGGCTTGAAATTTATGAAATATTTCAGCATGAAAGAAAGCCTTTTTCCCTCAGGAAAATTGAGCAATAAATCACAGCACTGTGGATTTACTGCCCTAGAGCCAGCGAGAGATAGGATTTTTTTTTTTTGCTTCATTCTGAAAAAAAAAAAAAATGTAATCATATAAGACAGCTTAGCTGCTGTCCTCCCACTCTCTAGAATTTTTAATTTCAGCTGTTTCTGCTTGGATTTATTTCCAATATTCCTGCTCGGCTTTTCAATTTCCTCAGTTATTAAATTTTAATTCAGTGCATTAGCATTTAAATTAAAAAAGGGTTTATTTTATCGAAATCGTTGGCCAGCCCCCATCCCGTAGCACACGAATTGCCTGTTTCTGCCATTTGCACAAAATGTGAAATGCAGCTAATGTCTTACAACTTACATTTGCACAAATTTAGAAATAAAATTTCTGGGTTTGGAATAATATTTTCTTTCCAAGAAAACCCTTAATAAGAGAATGGAAAAGAACAACTTAACATTCATTTGGGAGGGAAGAGGAAGGTCGGATGAAACCAAAAATAGCCATGCCCAGGTGCTGCGGGGAAGCTGGTGGAGAGGGAATAGGTGGGGTAGGAATGGGGGTGGGCACTCGGATGGGGGCTGGAGGGCTTGGGGTCCACCGCCACCAGCCATGGGAGAGTGAGAAAGAGGGGCCCCGTGGGTCATCTGCCCTCCATCTTTCATTTGCCGTAGAGGGGTCTGTTAAGGTTGGGTCAGCTCAACGTGGAGGGGCAGAGAAGGGAGGCTCTGATCCAGCCCTCTGCCCTGCTCCTGTTTTCACCAGCAAAGACCCTCAGCTCCAGAGAAAGAGGTTCAGAGGGAGACCCATAGGGAGCCAGGGCAAGAAGCTGCGTCCTTCATGAGCACAGTGTCCCTTGGCAGAAGGGGAAGGTGTGATGGCCTCGGTGGTGCAGTTCCCATGCCCTGAGCTGTCACCTGTGTTCTGGGTTGAGTGGCACCCCACCCGTTGGTGAAGCCAGCGCTGTGGACCTTCAAGAATCTGACTTGCACAGTGTGGGATTCTGGGCAGCCAAGTGGGCCCTGCTCCTCATTCACCCGCGTGTGATCTTGTGCGAGGACTTTTCTTTGCCTGGGTCTCTGTTTCCTGGACTGAATAAATGGTGGCCTCTGAAACTACATCCAGGTTTGTTAATGGTGGTATCACAGCTGAGCCTGTGCTGAGTACCTGTCGCCTTATTTAAGTTATCTGAAGTCTCACACCAGTCCTATGAAGTGGGTCCTAGAGTTAGCATCCTGCTGAATTGCAGATGAGGAAACCAGGGCCTTGAGAGTATAGACGACTTGCTGAAGATCCCACAGCTAGACGATGGCAAAACCTAGACTGCGGCTCCAACTAAAGCCCTGTGCTCTTGGACTTCAGTTCAAGTTGAGAATGAGGTTGCATGGTGCTGGGTAAAGGTGAGTTTGTGTTTTAGGTGGGATCAAGAAGTTGCTGGTGTTGGACCTTTGGGCCTAGGAAAATGGCAGGGTCCAAGTTAAGCTTAATTCAAGCAGAAGGGACCACTGTGATGGATTTGTGAGGATACAGACAAACCCCGCCTGTGTGCCGCGGATCGCCACTCTTGGGAGTTGAGCTCTGGGCATCACAGGTTCCCTGGCTGGAGGGCAGAAAGCCATGATGGCTGTGATGCTGACACCTGCAGTTATGGATGTCTCCCACTGTGTCCATGCATGTCCATGTCCCAGGCTGGCTCTCCTACCCCTGCCCTCTGCCCAGGTGGTCTTCCTCCCTTGGCTGCTCCAGTACCCCAGTGTTAGTGCCACCACCTGGGCCTCTGCAGACACAACTGCATTTCAACAACGTGTTCTGAGAACTATTTGAATGTTGTCGGCGTTTTATCTTTGTTTTCTAAAACTGAGTGGAAGACAGAAATGACTATGACTACTAGTGCTTCAAAACTGAAGTGCCATCAGCTCATAAAAGAGACCATCAGTCGTGCCCAAGATGCTCGGTCATGGTTTGCCACACTTGACCCGGTCAATGCTGCATAAAATTATGATAGAAAAAGAAAGAAAAGAAACCACAACAACATTGAAAATGGGTGTGAAATGCTCTAGCACTTTACATCTTGGACACGAGCATCATGACAGGTCACGTACAGGTCTGAGGAATGCCGGGTGGCAGAAAGAGGCTATAAGTGATCTGTCCTTTGCTCCCGTGACGTGGCGGGCAGACCTTGACTTTTCCATTTTCCTTGTGTGGGAAATGGGGGGCTCTGCGGTGTCACCCCGTTCCTGTTTGGTTCTCCTGGATGTTGGTGGGAGATAGAACATTGCAGAGCTACTGAAGGTGGCCTTCTGAGTAGCCAGACCTGGGCCTGTCGCTGTGGGACTTTTTAGTAAATGAAAGTGTCTGTGTCTGTCGCGTGGGCACGTTTCCACATGGGCTCGTGTCCACATACCCACGCCTGGCGGGAGTCACCTTCAGGAGCAGGGTGGCATTCACAGGGCCAGGCCGGTGCCCAAAGAGAGATGAGAGGGAGGGGTGGGGACTGTGGAGAAACAGGACTGTCAGCTCCAGCTGGTTGTCACTCTGGGCCTAGGTGTCACTGGGTTTTCTGGTTTTTAAGAGAAGTTGGAAATCCAGCCTTTGTTGAGGGGGGAGAGGGTAAAATCCTTTATTTTTGTAGACTGCGGGTTCTCATCAAAGACCACCACCCAGTTCTGCAGCTTCTGGGCTCGCATCAAAAAAGTGGCTGCTGTTTTTACTTTTGGAAGTCTGAAAATTAGAAAAGCTTGGGAACAAAATGACGATAACCAGGGAGCAGCGGGAGTGGACCTGGGGGCGAGGGGGCTACGGAAGGTCGCCAGTCATTGTCCCGCGCAGGGTTGCCCGTGCCAGTGTTTCACAGCCGAATATCGGTGCCGAGTCCTGGGGGTTCTGCGGCACCTGTCCGGATGTTTCCAAGTACAGGACCTGAGCCCGCTTGGAAAAATTCTGTAAACACGCACTAGAGTCTCAGAGCTGCATCATCCCAACTCTGGTTCCTCTTGGCCTGTGTTTCGAGGCAGCTGAGGAGTGCTCGTGTCAGCTGGTGGGGGTGGCATTGCTCCGTCTACATCTGGGTTCTCTTGAGCGTTGGCCTAGGAGTCAGGACCCCAGATATTTGTCTTTTGGTCCTCATGAGACTTCAGGCAGCTCCCTCTCTGCCCAGGGCCTTCGTCTCTCCTTCTGAACCATAATTTTATGATTCCCGAAAATTTCATTTGGTCAGCCTTATCTCCCCACCCACCCCCGACTCCCAAATAAAAGAGATTAAGAACTGGGACTCTCTGGCCTTCCCCCTGCTCATGGGTTTGGGGGACAGAATATTTTAACATAATAGGATTTTCCCCCTCTGGTTGGTAGGAATAAATCTGCAGCTACTGTTTTATTGGAAATCCCAGCTGAAAATAAAGATGGTGCAATTCAATCTCAGATTTAACTGGTTACTTACTTTCCACCGAGTCCCCAGGGCTGTGCGGTTGCTTGGTTTGTGTTGGCAGTGGGTGCCAGGCTTACAGGGACCAGCGAATGGGATGGCGAGGGCTCCTGACTCCCCCTTACCACCAGGGGCAGGTTTTCCCAGCCCGAGGAATGGGGCCGGGGCTTGTGGCCCGCTCGCCCCTCTGTCTGAAGACGGTCTCCAGCGGGAGTTTGGCGGGTGGCAGTGGGTGGACCTGGTGTCTTCTGCCTGGCTGATGGAGGTGTTCTGGATTTCTTTTGCAGGCTGACGGAGCCAGTGCAGCCGGAAGGAAAAGCACTGCCAGCAGGTACGACCCCTGCGCCCCAGCCCCTTCTCCTGTCCCCGGTCTTCACGACCAACAGCCACCACTCTTTGGTCCTCCCTGAAAGGTGGGATGGTCAGACCAGCCCTCTTTGCTGAGAAGTAACCACAGCTTCCCAGAGGGTGTGAGGGCGTAGACGGCCTTTTCCATGTGCCTACTGTGGGCCTCCAGGGCTCGAATTCAAGGATGATGCGTTTCTGACTGGCCATTGGCCCCTCCCACGGGGGAGACTTGGGGATGAAGCCCAAGGTGGGGAGCTTGGCTGCTGCAGTGTGGACTCCGGGGTGAGCCACCTCCTCCCCCCGCATCTGCGTGTGGATCTTGTGCCCTGCGCTGGGGTCATGCGCTTGGGTCCTGTGCTCCTCTCCCTCACTAGGTACCCCAGGTGAGGGCAGTGGGGCACTCCGAGGAGCCAGACCAGGGGTCCAGCTTCACCTTTGATGCTGGGAGAAGATGGGGGAGGGGTGGCCCTCAAGGAAAGCTGAGCTGTTGTCACCAGAAAGGAGAAGGAGATCCCGAGGGCCTAAGCTGGGGACAGCAACACAGGGGGCCCAGGTAAGTGCCTGGTCAGTGTTGGCACTAGTGCTGCTCCTATCGCAGTGCGGAGAGCAGAGCTGGAGTGACCAGGTGGCCTTTACTTGGGGCATGGGAAGCAGGAAGAAGGTAGTGGATGGGCAGGGAAGGTGGCTCTGTGGCACACACGTAGACTCTGGAATGGGCACTGGCATCCCCTGCTGGACTTCAGGGCAGATTGTGAATGCCCAGCGGGAAAGCCCTCGCTGTGGCCCAGGGAACAGCAGTGCTCTAAAATGTTCCTGGAGTTGTGTTGTGTTGTGTTTTAGGTCGGGGTTGGGGAATTAAGAGTGTTCTTTCTGTGGCCAGATAAATTTGGAGGTCAGTGGGTTGAGCGCAGAATCGAGTGGAGAAAGCACCAGTTCAGTCAAGCACACAGCCACTCTCTCTGGGGACACCAGCTCCAGGCCCCCTCAGTCCTGACTGCAGGTCCCACAAGTGCCTCAGAGTCAAACAGGTTTCTCTGCAGGGGGCGTTTCAGAGCCTTTAAAGAGCTAATGTTTGGGAGTCCTCAAGCTTCATTAACTGAGGGACATTTTTCCTGGGCTCATGCCGTGGAGCAAGCGTCTCTTGGAACACACTTAGGGAATCCACAGATGTGTTTGGCTCTGTGCGCCAGGAAGGTCACTCTGGCAGCATTTTGCAGGACGGATTGAAGTCCAGGACTCCAGACACCAGGCCCTTGCCACCCACAGGATGCTGCTGGCCTGGCAGATGTCTTCTGTTTCGAGGCCACGTGGTCTCTGATGTGTCTCAGCTCTGCCAGTGAGTGTGGAAGCAGCCAGGGGTGACCCACCCACGTGCACTCGGAAGGATGTCATTTGTTGGTTCTGAGACTGGATCTTGTTAGGTCCGAGGCTGTCCTTGAACTTGCGATCCTCCTGCTTCCTGAGGAGCTGGGATGACGGGCCCATGCCACCGTGCCTGGTGGGAATGCTCATTCTGTCTTCCCACTTTGGTGCCCTTTACCTTCCAGCCTGCGATTCCGTCCTCCCTTCAATGACGCTTTCCCCAACCTCCTTTTCGGGACACATGCCACCCAGCCTGTGGCCCTTGTCACCTGCCCACACAGCTGAATTATTTGTGTGTGTGCGGTTTTTCCCTTCCCTCTGGGAGTGGCAGCTTCCCAGGGCAGGGGCCATGTCTGTCTTGGGCAGCGATGTGGGCCTGGACCCTGGTAGGCCTGCAGATGTCAGTGGCAACCTGGGTGCCCAGTGTCCTGTGTCCTGGACCCCTGGTGGAGGAGTCCCTAGAGTGGTGAGTGGTGGATGGAGGCACTTGCTGGACCTGAAGTCAGGACTAGAAGTCCTGACTGGTGTCCCCACCCTGTCACTGTGCTTGTGGAACAGGGGAGGGGCTGCTCAGGGTCCTAAGGGGAGAAAGTGGCTGTGTGCTTGACGGAGCCGGTACTTCCTCCACCTGATGGTGGGCTCGGGCCAGGGTCTGGCCCACCACTGTCCTTCCTGCTGTGTTCGTTGGGCACTCGCTCTGTGTGCTGTGGGCTCCGATGGCCAGATGCTAATGTATTCACCCAGGAGACGTGTTAAGAGTGTCTGGGTGGTGGGCACAGTGGTGGGCCCACAGCAGTGAGCCACAAGATGAAGGTCCACCTTATCACAGTGGTGGGATGTCCTCACCTGACCTGAGTCTGCTGCCTGAGTCTCTCATAGGGGCTCTGCCTGGTGGTGGCGGGCAGAGGACAGCAGGCAGGTTTTCCAGTGGTGCTCGTGGCTGCCTAGAGCTTTGGGGTGAGTGTTCCCAGCCTGAGGCAGCAGTCCACAGGACGAGTGCGGAGATTGATTAGAGATGCCTGCTGGTCGGGGCAGGGGAAGGGGGGCATATGTGCCATCTCTTCTCTGAGGAGCCTAGGCTCTCCACAGCAGGTACATAGTGACTGAACCCATGTCATTGCCACGGGGCTGTAGTGCCCACCAGGAAGGCAGCACAAACCTGTGGGTTGGGTGTGACTTGAAGTGTGAAAGCACAATTGCCTTGAATAACGACTGTCATGTAGCCTGGCTCCACGTCCAGTTCTGAGCTAAGTGGTTTGCACGTATTCATTCATTTATTTATTGGGTGTTGTCTTCATAACAACCCTGCCAGGGAGGTGTTCGTAGCATTCCCACTTTATAGACAGGGAAGGCGAGGCGCAGGGGTCCGCGGGGCTAAGGCTGCTTCCCAGTCTGGCTCCTTGGGTGATGTGGCCTGCACTTCCCTACTCCACCCTCCTGCTTGTCCATGTGAAGTCAGCAGTTGACAGAGTTCCAGGAGCCCCTTAGGGGCCGGGGACTGTCAAGAAGGCTGAGCTCTGGGGGTGCTCCCAGGTGAGTATATTTTGATTGTGGGATTAAAACCAGTAGCGTTCTCTGAAAGGCCATCTCTGCGTCCTGAGGAGTGAACGACACACTGAGGCATCAGGAGAACTGTAGCAGTGGCCCTGGCCTTGCTACTAGTGGCTTTGACGCCCCCGGGTGGCTTTAGACCGGGGGATGCTCTGTAGGGCTTCAGAGCTTGTTTAGTCTCCGTTTCTGCTGAGAACCGGAGGTGTGGAGGCTCCCCAAAGTCAGAGTGAGGCTAGAGGGCCACAGGCAGGAGTGACCTGGGAGGACCCCCGCCCAGTCGGGCCTGGCTCCGGCCCTGCCTTGTCGCTCTGTTATTACACCAGGCGCTGCTTTCATCCCGCGCCACCTTTTGGCCTGGAACACGCAATTTTGTTATTTCTCCAGAGGGCCTCTGGCTGGACCCCAAGACCAACAGCACGGGCTGCGAAGGAATCAGTGTTAAATGGAGGGGACAAGGAGAGGTGTGTTCTGGATCTGAAGAGACAGCCGAGTGTGGCTTGGTTTACTTCCCTGTAACCCAGCCTGGGCGGATTTTACAAGACCAGGGACCCAGCACCCGGGGTCGGGGGTGACCTGGTGTGCAGGTCACAGCTCACGTGGCCAGGCGGCCGCTGAGCCTCGTTTACTCGAGGGCCTGGGCCTGGGGCCTCTGCGGGGAGGAGTTCTGAAGGAGTTGCTGTTGCAGGCTCCAGGGAGGAAGAGCGATGCCGGCTGCGAGCTGGAGGCCTCGGGCGGAAGGGCTCTGCAGGTTGTCCAGTCCCACCCTCTGATTTTAGAGATCAGGAAACAGGGCAGAGAGGTCACGTGATCCCTTGCTCCCTGGAACATTCTAGCTGCCTAAAGATGAGACAGGATCCTATAGATGGGAGGTTGGAGGGAAAAGATGGTGAAACCAAGTCTCACGCATTCGCTTCACAGGTATTTACAGAGGGCCTACTAAGCGCTACGTTCTGCCTTCGGTGCCAGGGATACAGCACTGAACAGAACAGAAAGCCCTGCCCCTGTGGAGTGGTGTCCTGGGGAGGGGGACAGATGATAGAAACACATAAACCATGTGCTCGTCAGTCACAGGTGCAGTGTAGGGGGACAGGGAGACCTGGAGAGGGTGCCATCTCTTTAATCTGGGAGGTCGGGAAAGGCATCTCTGGGAGATGTGAGGGACCGAGCCGGGAAGTCTGGGGAAGTGCCTTCTGGGCAGGGAGAACACCGGTGCAGGGGACATTCTTTGCCCCCAAGCAACCATGAGCACTGCAAGGCCACTGGACACCGTGCGCGGGCCTGTGCCATTACTGTGCATGAGATGGGGAGCCGCAGGACGTTTTGAGCAGAGAGGTGCCTTGATGTGACTTGGTTTGCAAAGGACCATCTCGGCTGCCGGGAGGTGAATCAACAGCAGAGGGCAAGGTGTTCCCAGAGCTGCTGCCTCGGTTCAGGACAGATGGCAACCGTGACGGGGGGCCAGCAGTGAGTGTCTGGAAGGCTGTCTCCAGGCCTGAGGGCTCCAGATTGAAGCCCACGTCCAGAAATGCACAGCCTCCTGTTCCGTCCTAGGATGGCCCAGACTGGGGTGGCCTTCCCTCCAGAGCCCCCACTCCCTGCCCTCTCTGACTGATCTGCTGGGCATCTTCCTCACTTCTCCACCTGCTGGGGCCCAAGCAGCTTGGCCCAGAGAGGAAGAGCTCAGACAGCCTGGGTGCAGATCCTGGTGCTGCCCATGGCCTGGTTGTGTGACCTCGAGTTGGTCACATAGCCTCCCTGCCTGTCAGTTTCCTCATCTGTAAAACAGGGATTGTGTCACTAGGACCACCTTCCCAGTGCTGTCAGTGAGGATTAAGTCTACTTACAGTGCGTGTACCTGCACACAGTGCCTGGACCATAGTAGGTGTTCAGTAAACACTCACTTTGATCACCACCATGCGGGCTGGATTCCTGGGAGAGGGCAGCCATGGGTGACAATTGGTTTCTCAGGGAGCCTGGACACAGGGAAGAGAGTGGGGATGGAGCATACTGATTGCATTGCTGCGGCAGCGAGGAAAGGTGTTAGGACGTTGGCTGTTACACTGCCTGAGG